ATCTGTTATCAGAAATGTACATAATCACACAGTTAGCTAACAATGTATTAATTTAAGGCAGAAACAATGAGCTTGTTAAAGTAAAGAATACATGTTGTTAATAAATTATTAGGATCTACAGAACGTTTTAAAACTACAGCATCACAAAGCAAAAGCCGAGATGGGAACACATAATTCCCAAGCCAAGCGGACCAGCAGGATAAAATGCTGCTGTTTCAAAAAGAATTGAAAGAAAATGTGTGTAAAACTCTTAAAACTCCCTCTGGGATTTCCTTGAACTGATCCACAAGACATTATTCCAATACAACCCAAGCAGCTTTCTCTTAAAGATTACACAATATCCAGTAGGATTCTAGGAATCAAATGAGATCCTACTGGATCTTAAATTCCTATATCGGAGGTTTTGATTCGTTTGATTTTTGGAATTTACTAATTATTTTCAACATCCGTCAAGCTAAAGTAGCCCTGACTTTGTGTTATTGTTGTATTTTTGTATCTTTCCTATTATCTGCCCCTTTGCCTTCTCATGAATATAATCACTCAGTGCAAGTAATAGTGCATTTTGTTTCCTGGGACACAATGAAGTGTTGTGTTTATTTGATCTGGTGCTTGTCCCATAATACATCAGTATTTATTTGTGTGCTGAGCTCCACAAGTTGCACAGAAGTTGTCCATTCAAGAGTGTCTGTGCACATGTGCTGTATGACTGTATTAGTGAGCTGCCTAGAAGATGTAGGGACATTTATGCTGCATTACAATTAAAAATGCACAAGGTCAATACTAAATATTGTTTAAATTTGTTCAGTGTAATTAAAAATTGTCTTTATGCACAGCTGCACTACTTCCTGAACTTCAGCCAGCTCCCTGTTTCCTGTCTGCTATTATTGGACAAACTTGATTAATTCAGGTGTGCCTGATTATTGTTGTTGTGACTACTGAGGTTAGACACACCTGGATTAATCAGTTTGTCCAATAATTGCAGACAGGAAACAAGGAGCTGGCTGAAGTTCAGGAAGTAGTGCAGCTGTGCATAAAGACAATTGAGCAAGTGACCAAAAGTATGTGTCCGGATTCACTCTCGTTCACTAACTCTTCCCACTCGTTCACTCTCGTTCTCTAACTCCTCCCACTCGTTCACTCTCGTTCACTCACTCCTCCCACTCGTTCACTCTCGTTCACTCACTCCTCCCACTCGTTCACTCTCGTTCACTCTCGTTCACTCTCGTTCACTCACTCCTCCCACTCGTTCACTCTCGTTCACTCACTCGTTCACTCACTCCTCCCACTCGTTCACTCTCGTTCACTCACTCGTTCACTCTCGTTCACTCACTCGTTCACTCTCGTTCACTCACTCCTCCCACTCGTTCACTCTCGTTCACTCACTCCTCCCACTCGTTCACTCTCGTTCACTCACTCCTCCCACTCGTTCACTCTCGTTCACTAACTCCTCCCACTCGTTCACTCTCGTTCACTCACTCCTCCCACTCGTTCACTCTCGTTCACTCACTCCTCCCACTCGTTCACTCTCGTTCACTCACTCGTTCACTCACTCCTCCCACTCGTTCACTCTCGTTCACTCACTCGTTCACTCTCGTTCACTCACTCCTCCCACTCGTTCACTCTCGTTCACTCACTCCTCCCACTCGTTCACTCTCGTTCACTCACTCCTCCCACTCGTTCACTCTCGTTCACTAACTCCTCCCACTCGTTCACTCTCGTTCACTCACTCCTCCCACTCGTTCACTCTCGTTCACTAACTCCTCCCACTCGTTCACTCTCGTTCACTCACTCCTCCCACTCGTTCACTCTCGTTCACTCACTCCTCCCACTCGTTCACTCTCGTTCACTCACTCGTTCACTCTCGTTCACTCTCGTTCACTCACTCCTCCCACTCGTTCACTCTCGTTCACTAACTCCTCCCACTCGTTCACTCTCGTTCACTCACTCCTCCCACTCGTTCACTCTCGTTCACTAACTCCTCCCACTCGTTCACTCTCGTTCACTCACTCCTCCCACTCGTTCACTCTCGTTTACTAACTCCTCCCACTCGTTCACTCTCGTTCACTCACTCCTCCCACTCGTTCACTCTCGTTCACTCACTCCTCCCACTCGTTCACTCTCGTTCACTCACTCCTCCCACTCCTTCGCTCATTCCTCCCACTCGTTCACTAACTCCTCCCACTCGTTCACTCTCGTTCACTCACTCCTCCCACTCGTTCACACTCGTTCACTCTCGTTCACTCACTCGTTCACTCGTTCACTCTCGTTCACTCACTCCTCCCACTCGTTCACTAACTCCTCCCACTCGTTCACTCTCGTTCACTCACTCCTCCCACTCGTTCACTCTCGTTCACTAACTCCTCCCACTCGTTCACTCTCGTTCACTCACTCCTCCCACTCGTTCACTCTCGTTCACTAACTCCTCCCACTCGTTCACTCTCGTTCACTCACTCCTCCCACTCGTTCACTCTCGTTCACTCACTCCTCCCACTCATTCGCTCATTCCTCCCACTCGTTCACTCACTCACTCCTCCCACTCGTTCACTAACTCCTCCCACTCGTTCACTCTCGTTCACTCACTCCTCCCAATCCTTTGCTCATTCCTCCCACTCGTTCACTCACTCCTCCCACTCGTTCATTCACTCCTCCCACTCGGTCACTCTCGTTCACTCACTCCTCCCACTCGTTCACTCTCTCCTCCCACTCGTTCACTCACTCCGTTCCTCTTACGTTAAATGTTCAAACAACATTTAACGAGGAACGGTTAAGGTTAAAAAACAAAAGAGTTAACAAAATACTAATAAATCAATGGTAACATTTTAGCTCTCATATGTTGTAACATTGCGATATATCAATGTTGATTTGAAATTTGAGAATATTTTTTTCTGAGTCAGTAGAGTTTGCTATTAGCATGTTGCTAAGCTAATGGCATGACACTCTAATAAGCATTAAAGAACACAACATTGGTCCCCATTGACCTGGGCTGCGTCCGAAATCGCTTACTTCCATACTATACTTACTTACTTACTTACTTACTTAGCTTAGCAACATGCTAATACCAAACTACTGAAATAAACAGTGCACTGAGGGCTATTTACTATTAACATAGGCAGCAAGGCTACTCACTATGTTTTGGAACAGAGCTTATTTGTGTGTAAATGTGCGTGTGTAGAGTGATGTGTTGTAGATCAGCACAGTGTGTTGTAGTGACAGATGGTAAAGCACCTCAGTGAGATTAATAGCCGGATTTTCTATTCAATCGGATCTTCCTGCAGTGAAGGGAGGGTGTGGTAAAAATACTCTGACTAACTAATCTTTCTGTGTGTGTGTGTGTGTGTGCATGTGCCTGCATCATGACACCAGTGCTAGTAGGTGTTATTGTGTTAATTGTGATAATTCATTAACTCCTCTTGCTTGTCACCTCATCTCATTTATATCTAAGTTTCCATGACAACAGGTGCAACAGTGACCTTGATACAGTAGCTGCATTTCTTTGAACAGTGTATGTTTGTGTCAGCAGTGCTGATTGGGTTAGCAGATATTGTATTTCATATTTTATATATGTTATGATTTTATATATGTTCTTTTCATTGACATTATTAAATTAGTTTTACAAGTGAAATGTCTAAAACCATGTTTTTTTTATTTAAATGTTTTTACCTTCATATGATGGTAACTCTTCAAAAATTGGGGTTCTGTAAGAAATTAATACTTTTATTCCGTGAGGATGCAATAATTTGATCAAAAGTGACAAAGATATTTATATTGTTACAAAAGATTTCTTTTTCAAATAAATGCTGTTCGTTTGAACTTTCTATTCATCAAAGAATCCCAAACAAAATTCATCATAGGCTTTCACAAAAATATGAAGCAGCACAACTGATAATAAGAAATGTTTCTTGAGCAGCAAATCAGCATATTACAATGATTTCTGAAGGATCATGTGACACTTTTTAAATATATTCAAACAGTAAACAGGTCTTTTCATTTGTAGTAATATAATTTTGTAGTCTACATAGTCTACATATTTGCATTTTACTGTGATGTATTGTTTAATATAATCAAAGAAGCTTATCCTAACCAGTTCTGTATTGCATGACATAGCATAATAGTTAAAAGCTCGTATCCGGCCTGGAATAGAGTTTGGTTTATGGTTATGGTTAGGGTTTGGACACCATTTTGGAAACAAATGTAGTAGCCGTTGGTCTTTTATGCAGAGACTCACCTCATGTGTTTGCAATTGCTATGATGCATTCAAACGTAGTATCTTTACAAAAGTTCACAATCCTGTTGCAGATGAACTATAATGAGGATAACATTGAATAAATATATTTTCGTCAAGTTAGATCAAGTTAGATCATCAAATCACCTCTTTATCTAAACTTCTTAACCTTGAGACTCACATACGCCATGTTTGTAGTTTTTAATACTTTGAATGTGTTTGTAGTTCTAATTGTTAGTTTTAATTATTTTGTATTTATAAATACATATGCATGCATGTATATATTTAAGAATTATTTGCACGTAAATACAGTATATATATATATATATATATATACATAATCTATATTAGATATAAATATTTTAATTAATCTTGCACAGCCCTAATATAATTCATTCAGATTCATTAAACATAAATAGACTGCACCAATTACCAAAACCTATAGTAAATTACATATTATTTTATTTAGTTATCTCCTTAGAATCATGGGAGAAATTATGATCTCTGTTTGAAACCAAAAAAAATTGTGCTTCTCAATTTATCCAGAATTGTGCACCTCTTGCTGAATGGAAAAAAAAAAACAAGTCTATTCATTCTGTTAAATTTTATTTTTACAATTTATTTGCTGCTTGCAAAAACCCAGTGAAAATAGGATATTTATTATATAGATTGTACGTTGTATATGGGCGTTTTCAGTACACTCGTTTCATGCTAATTGCCATTCTTTACTTGCACACTTATTTATTATAACAACTGACTCTTTCTTTCTTCTTCTCAGTTCTTCGCCATCTTTGCGTTCTCCACCTGTGGCGGTTACTCTGGAGTGTTTCGTCTGAGCGTGGAGTGTAAGAACCGCACAGAAAGTGACCTGAACATTGAGGTTGAGTTTCAGTACCCGTTCAGGTCAGTGTTTCACTGCCATTCCTGTCATATCAGGAATATCATATCATTCCTGTCAACAATGCTTTTCGAGACATTTTATTTATTTATTTTATTTACCTGTAAATTACAATTTAAGCACATTCGTCACATTCTTTCCCTTAAATGCAAAAAAAGCACTTCATTACATGCAAAAACTTGTTAAAACAGCTCAAAAGTCTCATATTGGGTGTTTTTGCTCACCTAAAATAAAATTATTGCTCTCTATGGAGCAAATTAACTGTTCCCCTTATAATATTATAATATGAACATTTTTACCATTTATTTTGCATTTGTGTGTGTTCTGCATTGTAAATGTGTTCAAATCTAACCACGGGATTGTGTCATTTCTTTCTTTTTTTTTTTGATAAATAATAATAAAATTCCCCATTTCCCATTCATTCCTTTGCGGGTCAAATTGACCCACGAGGGAAGGATTTGTTGCTGTTTTTATTACAACCACATAAACTCCTCGAATGCAGTAAATGTTTTGTGTGTGTCCCAAGTCCAAGTGTGACAAGTGCCGTCAAAATAAAAGTCACAACAACAAAAAAGTTTCTACTGCTGATGTGAATGCAACCAGGAAAAAGGGCCCTAGGGGAACATTTATTTCTCAGGGGACCATGGTGACTAGTTCCTAGTTCCTACATCTACTACCCAGTGCAAAAGAGGTTTATGATTCCATAGGAGACCCTTTTAAAGGGATACTCCACTTTTTTTGGAAATAGGCTCATTTTACCACTCCCCCAGAGTTAAACAGATGGGTTTTACCATTTACAAATCCATTCAGCCGATTTTCTGATATTTAGAAGAATATCAGTTACCAGACAGTTTCTGGTCTCATTGACTTCCATAGTAGGAAAAAAATATACTATGGAAGTCAATGAGACCAGAAACTGTCTGGTTACCGATATTCTTCTAAATATCAAAAAATCAGCTGAATACATTCGAAAACGGTAAAACCAACTGTTTAACTCTGGGGGAGTTGTAAAATGAGCCTATTTCCAAAAAAAGTGGAGTATCCCTTTAAGTTTTTTCACGTGAATGCGCACACATTGGTCAAGCGATTTACACTTCTGACAGACATTTATCAAGTGTCTTTCTCCACAGACTGCACCAGGTATGGTTTGATGCTCCTTCATGTAAAGGGCCGGAACCTGAACGTCTCTTTCTGGTGGGAGACAACTCTTCCTCTGCTGAGTTCTTTGTCACCATTGGTGTCTTTTCCTTCCTTTATACAATGGCAGCCATGTCCGTGTACATCTTCCTCCTGGAGAAGTACCACGAGGGAAACAAAGGAGCTCAGGCTGTGAGTCTTCTTGCAGTCTCTTTCCTGTGAAAATTGAAATTTCAGCTGGTATACATTTTCTTTGAGCATAATCAGCATAAAACTGAATGACTTAAAGGGTTAGTTCACCCAAAAATGAAAATTCTGTCAGTATTTACTCACCCTCATGTTGCTCCAAAGCTGGATCACTCCTCCATAATAGTCCATAGGCTTCTTGAGGGATTGAAACTTGCCGGCCTCGAAAAGTTATTAAAGGCATCGTTAAAATAGACTACAGTGGCTCAATCTTAAGTTTATCAAATGACGAGAATATTTTTGTGCGCAAAAAACAAACAAAAATAACGACTTTATTTCAAATATTAATTTCCGTCTCTCTGGGCCTCGGATCAGGTTACTAGTTTAACAGCGTATGATCTGTTGTTGTGCGTCACAGTCACACGCATCACACACATGACTAGCGTACAGTATTGGCACACGTAGGCTCACTATTGACTAACCAATAGTGAGCCTACGTGTGACGTAGCTCTACGCTATCACACTACGTTAACTGACTAGAGGCTCAAAGAGAAGGAAGTGAATAGTTGAAATAAAGACGTTATTTATGTTTGTTTTTGCGCACAAAAAGTTTTCTCATAAAGGCATTATTGAGCCACTGTCGTCATTTGGGCTGTTTTAACGATGCCTTTAATAACTTTTTGAGGCCAGCAAGTTTCAGTCCCTCAAGAAGCCTATGGACTAGTATGGAGGAGTGATCCAGCTCTCAGATTTAAGCAAAAATATCTTCGTGTTCTGAAGATAAACGAAGGTCTTACTGGGTTGGAACAACATAAGGGTGAGTAAATACTGACAGAATTTTCATTTTTGGGTGAACTAACCCTTTAAATGAGAGAAGAAGAAAAAACTGCAAATCAAGTTTATTGGCAAAATTCACAGACTTTCAGCTGTTTGCAATGAACAAATCAAACAAAAGTAATAGCTCAGCTCAACAAATCAACACAAAAAAAAGGCTACCAAGCCTTGGTGGAGTTTGAGGAATGATTGGGATCATTGTCCTGATGGAAGGTCCAATGACACCCAAGCTTCAGCTTTCTCACTTGTGGCATGGCGTTTTCTCCCAGGATTTCCTGATACTTCAATGAATCCATCTTGCCTTCCTCATACTGCATGTTTCCAGTGCCAGAGGATGCAAAGCAGCTCCAGAGCATCACGAGCCACAACATGCTCAACTGTAGACAGAGTGTTTTTTCCAGTATATGCTGCAATATACAGTATATTCTTCTGACATACTGCTGATCCATAGGGCTGAAAAGTTCTGAGGCTTATTTGAATGATTTTGAGCACTTTTTTTTGTTCTTTTGGGTCAGTAGTGGTGTACGTTCATGTATTTAATGTGTTCTAGCTCAAGCACACCTGGTGCAAGTAATGAAGCCCTTGATTAGTTGCATCAGGTGTTCTTGAGACAACATATGTTTTGCAGAGTTGTGCGGTTGTGAGGGATTCAGGTGGTTGAATATTTTTGAGACTGCAGAAGTCATTAAAAGTTGCATTTTCGGTTGAAAGTTCAATTACTTTTGTTTGATTTGTTCATTGCAAACAGCTGAAAGTACATTTTGCCAATAAACCTGATTTGCAAAGGGGGTTGAATGATTTTGATAACAACTGTATATCTGTCTTAATTTATAAAAATACAACTGTTCTTTGATAATGTAAACTTTTGATTTTAATAGTGTATCAGTAAATGTTGAAATTAACATTAACTAAGATTAACAAATGCTCTTAGGTCCATTCAAGTCTATAACAATAAGGATAAAGATTACGGGTCTCATTCACTAAGCATGCATATTCAAATGTGTGCGTGAATTCTGTGTGTGAACAAATCATTTCACGAACAAATCATGTTCGTACTAAAATGTAATCTATATTTATGAAAGATGTAGGAACAACTGAAACCACACTTTAACTTTTACTTTAAAAAAGCACTTTCTCTCTGTGGCCTTATAACCATGTTAAGAAGTTATATTTCATCTTAACACCACTATATTTATATTATTAATAAATAATGCCATTTCATTTAATCTTAAACACATTTCATCATATAAATACAGTGAAAGAGTTAGAAAAGCTGCGTTATAGCATTAGCTGCGAGGTTTCTCTGATTAAACACAGATATATGCGAATGTACAGCTGGCTAATGAGAGGTCTGTAATCTTGGTGTGTATAAAAGGTGTTTATTGTGTTTGAACTGGTTATGAGAATTACACACTTGGCATTGCTCGAGGATCTGGTAAGAGCGCGTCTACAGAGAGCACCATATGTTTGGCGAAAGTGACGAAAGGTTGTGCGGAAAGCCCTTTTTTGGAGATGGCATGGGGGTGTTTTATGCTAATGACTAACCTTGTGCACATGGCTCGGCTGCTCATTTAGAATACTCAAAATCTGCTAACATTATAACGAGATTAAAAATAAATGATGTACGCACATGTTGGAAATTAGTCACAGATTTTTTCGTGAGAAGATCTCCTGTGTTTAAAAATCTGTAATAAACCATACAATTATTGGTAAACGAGACTAATTGTTTTGAATTGTTCTAAATGTACAAGAATCAGCCATTCAGAATCTATCCTGCTTTAAAGAGCACGTGCATTTAATGCGAAAGATTATAAAACTTCAGCATGCTAAGAATAAACAGAATTGGCATGGGCGTGGACGCTAATAGAGTTAGATTAGATAGTAATAGTATTTGTAATTTATTTTAGTTCACGACACGTTAATATAGTAAACTAATGTTAACAAATGTAAAAACTTTTACTAACAACTTTAATAACCTATGATATTTTGTTAACCCTTGTTACATGTTTTGTTAACCGCGTTACATTCAAAATATAATGTTGCAACACTGAAGATCAGTGGAAAGTGTCTAACATGCCTTAACTTACAAATCTGTTTGAACCATAAAGTCTATGCCTTTAAATATTATAGATTTTAAAGGGGGAAATGTCACTGCATTATAGTGTGGCGGTAAACCCATAATATTTCATTTTTTTAAATACATATAAGTGATTAGTATTCCAATGAAAAACTTTTTTTTTCTACAGGATTTTGTGGTGACAGCTATTTTTACCTTCATGTGGTTGGTAAGTTCAGCGGCGTGGGCCAAAGGTCTCTCGGATGTCAAGAGGGCAACTGACCCAGATGAGGTCATCAACCTTATCGATGCATGTGATCGTGAGGAAAACCGCTGCAAAGAAATCCATGAGCCTGTGGTTTCCGGCCTAAACACATCTGTGGTGGGTACTGTCACTATGAATAATGTTATTGTGCACATGTATTGAATGTATTTCTAGAATTTTATAATGACACGTCGTGGGCCTTTGAGAAAGGTTGGACATCATGTTTATGAGCAATGACGAAATTATGTTACTCCTATAAAATATTGTAGTCAAGCATTGATAATCAATCATTATGCTCCATTATACTCTGTTATATACAAACTCAGCCGGCAAGTGACCAACCTTCAATGTTGAAATGTGGTTAAAATAGTGTTATAAATGTTTCAACATTTAAAGTTTCCCTATTATGATTTTTCAGTTATGACCTTTCATGTTGTGTGTGCATGATAAATGGTCTGGGTTATTGTCCCCCAAAAGAAAGAACTGATTTTGAACTGCCTCAAATGAGTCGTCTGTAATTACAGTCTTTCTTTCTGCAAGTGCCTCCGAAGCTTAAATTAATATATGGTAATGGGTGTTTTGTGTCCGAGGCGCTAAAAGTGGTAGACCATCTGACCAATCAGAGTAGAGCAGGCTCTTGGAAATTTTTAGAGAAATCTTTATCGAAACTTTATCAATGTAGTGTTTTTTATTTTATTTTTTACTGTAGATGCATGTAAATCTATTGGAGGATACCTCCAAAACAAAATTAGGAAACTTTAAAATAGCATATATGGGGCACTTTAATGCTAAATAAAGGCAAAATATTTACCTTTACAAATCAACAATAACATTTTAATTCACCTATGTTAAAAAAAATCAACGTTGATTTGTTTTGAACAATCATCTAAATTGTTTTTGTTAAATGAAAAAAAAAATGAATTAATACATACAGTATGTATATGTATATATTGTCACGGGATGTGGTGGTGGGAGTGCAGGAGTGCAGGCAGAAAGAACAGGAGGAGTCCAGATTACCACAAAAATACTTATTTAATCCAAAAATACAGGCAGGAAGACAGGGAAACACCGGGTAACATACAACATCGACCGACAAAGACAGACTGAGTAAGATGGAACTAAATACACAGAGGAATCAACCAAAACGAGGTGCAAACAGGTGAAGATGATGAAACAAGACGAGGAACAGGTGGCTGATTAGGGAGTGAGTCCGGGAGTAGAGACAAAAGGATCCTGGGAAGTGTAGTGCAGTGGTGCAGACGGATGACTGTGACATATATAAATATATATATATATATATATATATATATATATATTAGATAAAAAAAAAATAATCTACATTTTGCGTAGGCAACTAACTGAAAATAAACCAAGATATGCTTAATCTAATGAAACTGGCAGTATTTTCATCTGGTAAAACAGCATATGGTATGTGCAAGTAAACATTTGGCTGGTTTCTCTTGTACCTGCAGGCGTTTGGGTTCTGTAATGTGGTGCTATGGGCAGGGAACCTGTGGTTCGTCTTCAAGGAAACCGGTTGGCTTGCAGCCTTTGCTGGCACTTACGCACCCTCTGGAGAGAAGCAGCCAGCACCAGACTCCTTCGGCCAGGGTGAGCACAACTAAAAGACTGAAAATTAAAGCATGGAATTCACATAAATTCATATAAGCTTATGTATTACAGTATTACTACCAAGATTTTTGTTGCTGTTATAAACATTTATATGTAAGTTAATGTGAATCTCAAGAAGAAGTGAAGTCACTATTACAGCAATGAGGATAAAATAATGTGATTTGAATAATATGCTTAATTGTCATTTTAACAATAAACAAAATTTGATTTTGATCCTACAAATAGGCTAATCTTCTGTATCCAAAGTTTAATTTTAATTTTGAATTTCTGACATATTCTTGACAAGTTTTATAAGATTCACCCTAATAGAACTTTCAGGATAATTGTCATTTGAAATTTTTTGACATTTTAAGGCTTGTAAAGGTCTTCATCCTATTTTATTATATTCTCTTTTAAATGTATTTTTCTAGGCTATGGACAAGAAGGTTATGGACAGGACCCTTACGCTGGCTCTCAGGGCGGTTACCAGCCCGAATACAGCCAACAGGGCGAAGGTGGCGGTTACAACCAAGGAGTGTATGGTCAGGGTGAGCCCACCTCCTTCTCCAATGAGATGTGAGCCCGCCTCTGCTGGCTGAAGCTCTGTACTGGTGAGTGAACAAGCTGTAAGGGTAGTTTACACTGTAGGGAACATCTCAGTTAATATTTTAACGTCCGTTCCCTGATGGAGGAAATGAGATGTGGTGTCGATGACTGACACTAGGGGTTGCTCTAGGGGTGGACATGCATTTTCAGCGTAAACCACCTTTAAACAACCAGTTTATATATGCTATTGCGAGTCTGTAGCCAATGCTTATCAACCCGAGCACGACCGAGGACACCATATGCCCCAGGAGCCTCTGAAATTGTTTCAGTGGAACCACTGTTTTTACTCTAAATGTCTTTAAGGAGTTCAGCATTGCGAGACATGAAGTCCAACTCCATCCTGAGAAAAGAGATACTTTGCACTGGGGAGCGCTTGCTCTTTTCCCAGTTGACCTGAAGCCCCAAACGGAGCACCAACCCTAATCTTGATATGACATCATATTGCTCAGAAAATACAAACAGCTTGATTATTGAGAGTGTTTAGGCTTTTTGAGGTTAAAAAAAAGAAGAGAATTGATTTTTTTCATTGTATGGTGGTATGGTCTACACACTGCAAAGTCATTTGCAAACTTTTTTTGCATTTGGAAAGGAATTTTGCTTCCGATGAACCCTTTAAAGGGATAGTTCACTTTGAAATTAATTTTTGATATGTTTTAGCTTACCTCAAGGAGGTGTCTTTGTTTTCACAGTATTTTCAATTTTAACATTTTTCAGTCAAACCGTTGTTGTCTATCAGTCATACACTGGAGGCTAAGGGGGTCCACCAAAAAGCATGCACAGAGAAGTCCAAATTAAACATGATTTAATGACTCGTAAATGTAAGTACACATTGATGGCCTAAGACACGAAACGAGCAGGTTTTGTGTGAAAACGAACAGTATTTATATCGTTTTTACCTCGTGTAATCACAGTGACGTCCAAGTGATCTGAATCAGTTGTGCAATGTCCAACTGAACCGAACTGAATCAGTTCAATGTTACGCCGGAAGTGATCGCTTGCGTGTGACGTCACTCAATATTTACACGGAGATTTCGGAAGTTTTACCTTTTACTAAACATATTTAGATATACCGAAATCGTCTTCCACTGCGGTTTCCCGTATATCTAAATATGTTTAGTGAAAGGTAAACCTTTCGAAATCTCTGTATAAACAAAGAGTGACGTAGGCGCGCAAGCGATGCGCAGACCGAAGCGCCCGTGCCGTCAGATCATTTTGTCATGGTTATGATTACAAGAGGTAAAAACGATATAAATACTGTTCGTTTTCTCACAAAAACCGCTCGTTTCTTGTCTTAGGCCATCAATGTGTACTTACATTTACGAGTCAATAAATCATGTTTAATTTGTACTTCTCTGTGCATGCTTTTTGGTGGACCCCCTTAGCCTCCAGTGTATGACTGATAGACAACAACGGTTTGACTGAAAAATGTCAAAATTGAAAATACTGTGGAAACAAAGAACCCTACATCTTGGATGCCCTTGAGGTAAGCTAAAACATATCAACAATTAATTTCAAAGTGAACTATCCCTTTAAGGGAATAAGGGCAGCCTCTGCGACTTTGGTGAAGACTCAACGTGACAGGGACAGGACCTTGTACTGGTATGCCCAAACCTCAAAAGCAAACCAAAAATGTTAGGTTGTCCTTATGTGATAACGTCTTGAATGAGAGCTTTTGCAGTACCTAATTCAAAAGTCGGAGGTCTAAGATTGGTCGTAAACCACTGCCTTTCTTTGCTACGATGAAGTGAGGGTTGTAGAAACCCTTCATCTCGGAAGGAAGGACAGGCTCTTTTGCGTCCTTCGACAAGGGCATCTTTGCTTGCCACTGAGGTGAAGAGAACTCTAAACCTGGATGGGGGACTGGCGAGCTGAATCGCATAGCCAATTTTGAGCCAGTACAACCGATTGGAAAATGCTAACTTGGCCTCCGAACTTTGTGGCTGTGGCTGCTCCGTAAGCTCCAACTGGAACCGGCCTGTGACGGTTGAGGAAGCTGCCTCTGAATGTGCTACACTGACCTGTGCAGTGATTTGGGTAATTCGCATCCACACATGAGTAGGCAGTAAGTCTCTGCGAACTATGTGACCCAGAGAATGGAGGTGTTGCTCTTTCTTTGAAAATTCTGGGTACCGCTGCAACTGGGGTGAGCGGCGGAAGAAAAAGAAAATGAAACCAAAGATTCTCCACCTTGCCCTCCACTTGGGGAAGGGGTTGTGCGTGCACATCATCCTGGGCAAGAGTAGGTCCTCGTATCTCTGCAGGCAGCTCAATGAGCAACTTAGGTGACTCTATCTCTTATAAGAAAAGAGAGTCACCATCCCGATGTTCCCATGGTCATGTTCTCGCAATGATAATCCACCATCCACGAAAGCTGTCTCAGCATGTTTTTGACTCAGACGCATGAGACAAAGACTATTGCCATTCGAGGATAAGAGATATCGGCCGCACCCAGAAACACTCAGACTGAAAGGCATCTTTACAAAGATGCTATTCGTCTGTGCTTGCACTTTTAGCGGAAAAGCTCTTTTAGAGGAAACTGCTCATTTATGCTTGCTGAAGCGCCCAGGAGAACTTTCTCTGCACTTATCCATGCCCTTTTCCACAAGAAAGTAATGTGCTGTAACACCAGCAATTTGCTTCCTTTTCAGAGGATGAATGGATTGAGCTTGTGTATAGATGACACCCACTCGGCTCCGAAAAACAAATCTGAATGAGTGCTGTGAATATGCGCAAACATAAAGGGCATAGCATAAACTGACTCCATGGATTACTTGTCAAGAGTCAGAGTACATTAACCCCAAGGGATCATATCAAAATGTAAGGCCCCGTCATTAATTCAGAAAAACAGAGCAAAAAAAAATTTCTCATGAAAAATTAACTCGTTAATTCAGAAAAACAGAGCAAATTTTTTTTTTTTCTCATGAAAAATTAACTCATTAATTCAGAAAAACAGAGTAGATTTTTTTTTCTTCAAGTGAATGCAATACGCCTCCGTAGGTCCAAACATCTGTGTCCAATACTAAAGATGCATGCAACATTTTTATATATATATATAATTTAATAAAATTATATTTACATTTTAATACTTACATTATATGTACTTACATTTTATAAATTATATTATCAGCATAAATATTTGAGTATTTTTTTTTTTTTACTTTACAATCAACATTTTAGGGGTCATATTCTAAATTTTTCATTGTGCACTACCGATCAAAGTTTTGGGTAAGTTAGATTTTTTTTGTTTTTGATGGAAGTCTCTTATGGTCACCAATCCTGCATTTATTCGATCTAAGAAACAGCAAAACAATAATACTGTGAAATATTATTACAATTGAAAATATTACAGTTTTCTATTTGAATATAATTTTAAAATGTAGTTAATTCCTGTAATGGCAAAGTAAAACTTTCAGCATCATTACTGCAGTCTTCAGCTTATCATAGTAACATCTAGTCCCAGTGTTGTAGTACTCGAGACTCGGACTCGTCTCGGACTCGGTCTCGAGACCATATTTTAATGGTCTTGGTCTTGTCATGGACTCGTGTCCATTTGGACTCGGAATTGACTCGTACTCGAACATTTTTTTTTTTAGGACTCGGAATTATTCCTGAGTCCACTCGAGTTCAATTCAAAATATTTTTCATGATTATTATTGTATGTTAATTAAATATTTCTTTAAATTGATTGACACGCCCAGTGATTGGTGATTTTCTAGTGCGCAACTGCGCATGACAAATTGTAATAAAATTACTTTTAACACCACCTACTATGTGGCCTTTTTAACCTAAACTGATTATATTTTTGAAACTCTAAGTAAATTCAGTAAAAAAAAAAAAAAAGGATTTCTCTAAGTAAATAAAAGTAAATTAGGTAATCAACCCTCACTGGTCTCGGTCTCGACTCGGACTCGAGTGAGGTGGTCTCGACTACAACACTGTCTAGTCCTTTACTTGAGCTGTGGAAATCATAATACTTTTTTTTCAGGATTTTTTGATGTTTAGAAAGGTCTTAGTACAAGCATTTAATTGAAACGTAATTTTATTGACATTTTGGTAACGCTTCCTTTTACAGTCCAGTTACCCATGTAAATACTATGTACTTATTTTAGTAACTACAATTACTGGGTAATAACCCTGAAACTACCCCTAAACCTTCCCCTGTTCCATGTACTTACCTTATATTAGACAGTACTTTCTAGGTAAGTACACTGTAAGTACACTGTAAGTACTGTACTGTAAAAGGAAGCGTTACCGACATTTCTGTAACTTTATAAATGCCTTTACAGTCACTTTTGATCATTTTAATGTGTCCTTGTTTTACCATTATAACTTTTAAGAAAAAGCCAGTATGCTGAACCTTGTATATTGTACACTACACTCAATACAATTATGATGTTTGTTTTTCGTTTTAACATAAAAATTGTAAACATTTAAACGTGTTGTCTTTGCAGATCACCGCAAGAGGACGTCGTGTGATCAGCCAGCATGGAAACTACTAGCTATGTCTTTCCACTGTCTTCAGTTGGTTTTAAGGGAAGGGGGTGGGTGGTATTAAAACACATATAAGAAATATTTTCAGGGTTGATTTTAACATCATAACCAAGAGGAAACAGTTGGGACCTATGAGGAAGTGAGACCCTAATTTCAACGTACTATTTATTACATGGAATCTAGCTGGAGAATATCCATCCTATTATAATGAGGAAAAACTTGAATATGCTACCAAAAAAAATTTAATAAATATGAATGAAACCTATGATGTATATGCCATGTACGGGGAGCCGTTTGAATGAATTATAGTAATATTAAACTGAATGTGTTTTTCTGTGGTGTAAATATGAATTAGATATACTTATTGTTGCTTTTTCTGTGATTTGTAGTCCCCACATTTGTTTTTATTTCCCCTATATCTCACCACCTAAACCTTCAACCTCCGACTCAATGTTTTTTCTTTCTTTTTTATTTGTGTGAAACATTTGAAAGGTTCATAAGAACACAAAGATTAAGTAGTATAAAACTTCTGTATTGGTCAAGTGTTAACAAAAGTAGGCATAGATAAAACCGCGTAGGGAGAGAAACCGAGTAACGGAAAAGCTTAAGAACAAAGCGAAACAGAAAGTACAGGCCATATTTTTTCAAAATTTGAACAAATGATGCGCATGCACGACATATATTTCCTTTTATGTTTTGGTTATATGTCCAAACTTTTATAAGCTAAAGCACAAATATATTTTCGGTGCTATAAAAACGGCTTGTAGGACAACTTCACTTCAGTCACGGGTGCTTTAGGTCTTGATTGTTTTGTTTTTCTAGTTGTGTGAAACGCCACTGATGCTCTTATTCAGACATGAGTGTGAATGACCCCTTTAGATTCTTTCTGAAAAGATTTCCATGTGTTTTGGCTCTTTGTTCAGACTGATATGTATTTTATGCTGTCTCTCTCTCTCTCACTGCCTTTACATGAAGGTCCATATTGCTTTCTTTCTCTCCCTCATTATATCATATGATAATGCTAAATAAAATAATGTTAGAGAATGACGAGTGATGACATTAATGCTCCGGTGTGTTTGTTTTTAGCAGCGCTTTTATGAATTCCAATGTCTTACGTTTTTGTTGGACCAGTACGTTTATAAATCTATTGTCATTTCACTATGGAGTTGACAAGAACGAGGATAACTTTTGGTTAAAATTATTATCTTGAGGTTGAAGCAGTTTGAAATATATAATTTCTATTTTATCATATTCCTGATCTTACTACAGACATTGTTGATGCCTTTTACGACCAGAAGAGGGAGATGTTTAATAAATGACATGACCTTAATGGAAATTTGGCTGTTTAACAAAAATAAATACGCTAAATAAAAAAATAATTAAAACAAATTAAAAAGATCGCATGTTAGAAATTAAATGTAGAAATTTAGTAAATAACCCTACTTTATCAATGCAGGTATTGTGCTTTTCTTATAAAGTACATTGCCGTCATTAAGATTTGTTTTAATTAATACTTTTATTCAGTTTGAACAGCTTGAGCTCAAAATTGCTGTTCAAGATTTTGATTTCAAATAAATGCTGTTCTTTTAAACTTTCAATTCATCAAAGAGAGTGTATTATGGCTTCCACAAAAATATAAAGCATCACAACTATTTTCCACATTGATAATAATAAATGTTTCTAGAGTAGCAAATCATCATTTCTGAAGCATCATGAGTAATGATGCTGAAAATTCAGCTTTGAATCAGAATAAATTATATTTTAAATCTATTCAAATAGAAAACATTTCTGTTAAATTGTAATAATGTTTCACAATATTACTTTTTTATTGATTTTTATTAAATAAATGCAGTAGCGTGTGTACCATCAGTTTTACTATTATTTGACCGTTTATATACACCTGAATTAATGCTTCTTAGATTAGTGTATTTAAAGTTTATACTAAAAATAGCTTGTGTTACAAAAAATGTTACAATTGCTACATTTATTGTTAACAATGATTGATGTCTTGATGGGTTTCTTCTTAAAATATTTTAATGCATGTGTGTTTTATTTGATAGCCTAATATGAAATAGACATTAAACCAGAAAAGTGTTGTTTCCTGCAGCCTCTTCCTGCAAAGCATTTGTTATGATCACTCTCTTGTGTTGCCAAAACAAGGCCCTCTGTGTACGTGTGTGTGTGTGTGTGTGTGTGTGTGTGTGTGTGTGTGTGTGTGTGTGTGTGTGTGTGTGTGTGTGTGTGTGTGTGTGTGTGTGTGTGCCCACAAGGTGATCTGCTAGGCAGAGCTGACAAAAGTGACCCAAAGTTCTTATGGCACTGAATATTTCAACAGTGTCACTTCAAAAAAGCAAAAATTGTTATCTATTGTTATTATCACAAAATCAAATTGTTACCTAAACTACAGTTCCCATGAGACTAAATGATATAATAGGCTTATATTATAATATGACATATCATTCATATTTTTCAGTTGAATATCAGCAAATGATTTAATTCATAATAATTTTCAATTACATTACATTTAGACATTGTCTAAAATAACATTTAGTGTTAATTTAATGAAATTTAGTGATTCAATACTTCAACCCATTAATAAGATTTTTCTTTATAAATATATTGTTCAATTACATGCTTTTGTAAATTTGTTGTTCAAATAAATAATGTTCAGTGAAATCAGTGAAGGTCGCCTACTTTAACCCTTACATTATTTATGTATATTGATGTTGAGTGACTATGATCAGTAAAATGGTTCAAGGTACTTTTCAGAACTAAATTAAACCTTAAACTAAGTTGTGCTGTTTTGATATTCATAAACATGGAAAAAAATGGTGTAACTGTATACTTTGTATTGGCAAATCTGGGAAGAAACCACACTGAGTTTGTGTGTAACAGTTCACACACTGAAAACCACTTGTGTATTTCTTTAAAGTGGAGCCTAATTAATTTCATTGAAAAAAAAAAACATTACATAACATAAACATTCATTATTTATGAACATTATTATGTGTAAGTTTTGTAAAAATGACAATTCATGTGATATCTCATATGTTTTCATATACCATATACCGTAAGTCAAACGGGATAACGCTGTTTTTTTCCATTGAAATGCATAATTTCACTAAATGAAGTTGAGGAAACAATAATAACATTAAATCAAGTCCTGTCAAACTTTTTCAGACATTTTACATTTTAACTCACATTGCAGTGTTAAAATGTGCGTAAAGAACTTGAACAAGAAATACAAAAAAAAATACAAAAAAATATATTTTTTTTTCTTATCTCTAAATATTGTTTACTGCATCACTTTACATATTCATTAGCCTAAGTATTATTGATTTGAAAAGTTTTAATATCATAATATTTAGAAAATGCATTAACGTTATCTTGTAGGCCTTATGACATTTTGACTGGTGTGGTCACATGATTCTCAGTTAAACCACTTAAAATACATAGTTTAAAATTCAGATTTTAGTAACAAGTAAAAAAATAAAAAACATCCCCATAAAGATAATAACTACTTTGATGTACAGTTTTAACCAATTTGATTTTTTTTTTTTTTTATCAGTTGAAAACCTTATTTGTCATTGATGTGAGCTCACGCGCTCTGCTCACGCACGCGGCTTCGGATGCGCGTGCGAGCATATGATTCGAGTATGAGTTGCTATGGCGACGCGTCTTATGAATTTTGAATGAAAATATCAACACTTTGATCGCTGTTGGTTGGTTGAGAGTCGAGGCGATTTCAGAGACTTTTGCTGAAAATTTTCTTGTGCTGAACTTGAGATTTTGAAGCTGTTCGGAGGATTTCAGAGAGAGAGGAGACTTTTATTCCAGAAGGAGATCGGATAATATATCCTAGCTTACGCTACATCGTTTTATTTATTTTTATTTAATATTATTTCTGAGGACGCTTTAATTTGATTGTTCTTTTCTTATTTTTGAGGGAGTTTTGGAGTTTTATTTTATTTTTTATTGTTTATTTTTATTTTATTTTTATTTTTTTATTTTTTTGGGGGGGTGGGGTATTTCTGAGTATTTTGGGTGGGGTATTACTGAGGTGGGGTATTTCATTGTATTGTATTGTATTTTGTATTGTATTGCTCTTGTTTGCAGGAGGATGCCAGGCCCGACCGGGACTCAGAGCCATGAGCTCATTCCTGGATATGTAACATCTCTGTCTTGTGAGTTTGTTTGTGTCTCCACAGGTCCGGCTGACAGGAAGAGAGAGTGGCAGAGAGACAGCCAGCAGAGCCCAGATGATGGACGTCCGTTCACTTCTTCTCAAGACTCTCGGAGAGCAAAGGCAAAGGTAGGGTGACCAACAGTCCTGTTTTCACGTCCTGTCCTGGCCCTCCTGGCTGCTCTTTATAAAGTGATGAAAATGTCCTGGTTTTCAAAAAACTGCTGGGAAAGATCAGCTCTACAGCAAAATATAGATGGGCAAGGAAGAAAAACAGGATAAAGAGGAAGAAAACTAAAGATATAAATATATTTTGTTAGTTCTTTTTGGCAAGTTTGTGAGAGATATATATTTGTTCAATTTGGAGGTATTTCTTTCAGTTATTTATTATTTATATATTTACTTTTGTAATACTGAAGAGACATTATTTCATTATTTTTGAAACCTGTCATAATAAAGAGTAACCTCTGAGAAGCCTATCTGAATTTGTGTCTTGTTAATGTAACAATTTTCTATTTATACAGAGGAGGAATAGCCTACTTTCAATGTATTGAAATGAATAAGGCATCTTTGAGTAAACTTTGAGTATCTGTTTGCTGGGCCGAGTGTCCTGGTTTTTGGTAATCAAAATATGGTCCCCCTAGGCAGAGGAAGAGGAGAAGCGTGATTCCCGTGACTGGAGCGGCATCATCCCAGACCAGAGGACTGCACCGATACCCGAGAGAAGAGCTGAGGGTAAATCAAATGACCATTGGAGAATATTATCACTGGAGTGTCATTAATTACCATATATGACCACACCATATTATATCAAAATACAACTGAAGCCAATAATCAGATTTAGTTTTTATTCCAAGACACATCATAACATATTTAAATAAGGATTGGGTACAAATTTCAAGAATAGCCATCATTTGAGTATCCAATGTTTAATAATTATGGTTATACACAACATTATAAGTTATTATTAATATTTGGTTGGTTCTCTTGTTTTTGCATGTGTTTTTAATTCAGCTTTATATAACAGCCTGGACAAAAATGATGTTGCCAAATTGTTTATGTTTTATTGAATTATTATCACAAATTAAACAATCGACTCCCAGCTTAACTGTGCAATATGACTACAAAATCTTACACACATTTATAATAACATTTAAATGCAAGACAAGAGTGCAGATGTCAGATTTCCTGGGCCGGACGTCACTTGTGTTCACTATTGTATATAGCTGTAATTGTAAATGTAAGGGAGAAAAGGAAAGCATGTGTGTGTGTGTGTGTGTGTGTGTAATCAGGCACTAGGATGATTGGGAAGAACATATTTAACTGTTTTCATCCCATGTTCTTCTTTCTTCATGATGTCAAGCCTCAGTATTTACGGTTTCTTGTGTTAATGTTTTTACCTTTCTTCAAGGCATCTGTGCTTTCTTACGGAGAATCGGGAAGGCTGTAAAGCTGGACTGCAGTGAGGTCGATATACTTGTGTCCACATATCCCTCCTGCAATCCCACGGATGTCCAGCAGGATTCATCCGAGTTTTACTGGGCAACACCAGTGCATCCGTGTCCATCTGGAGTCCAGCTGCCGGTTAATGCCGATCCGGACGATCCCGAAGACTCTTGCACATCTGTCCTGGACCCAGAGCCGGCAGTGGCGCGAGATCTAGAGCTGATGTCTCTCTCAGGATTGTCCAGTCTCTCTAGTATCGAGCTGACGCCGGACTCTATTCAGGACGATCCTGACGATGCATCGTCTGTCCCGGGTGAGTCTATGGTCATTATTATTACTGTCAGTACTTTCATTATACCGAGTTGTGTTGTCGAGTTCATCTTGTGTACCTAATTATTAAAGTCCCCCGCTGGTCAATCAATTCATCCCTTTAAACTCATCTTTGATCACCAAATATTTCCATATTTAAATGTTTTTTTCTTTGAAAAAACAATCCGTCACGCCTTAAAATAGCTTGAATGTAACTCGACACCCTTGCCTCATTTAGTATGCTCGGTTCTATGAATATGCAAATGAGCCCCGCCTCCACTCACTCACTCAGCCCAGAGATCCACTGGTTGACGATCACACGTTGATCTGATTGGTTACAAGGTGGTTTGTGACGTCAGAAACACCAGCGATTTCACACCGTGTTTTTGAGACTGTCTTTGGTTCACTGCAGTTTTAAGGAGGAAATACTCTGAAAATACTTGAAAAATGTGCCACTTTTCCAGTTGTCTCACCTCACAATTGAATTCTTTCTTCATTATGTCTTCCCTCAGATTTTGCTGAAAGCCAAACACAGAAGAAGAAGAAAGATGTGGGTGCGTTTCTCCGTAGGAAATGGAGGGCTATGATAGCGCCGGCTGTTGGTAAGTCTATTATTAGTCTACTGTCATTCTTTTCGTTATAGTTGTAGACTTTTGCTCTAGTCTACGGTTTATGTTATTCTTGTTCCCCTTAAATTATTAGTGTTCAACATTCAGCATCTATTTTATTTTTCACTATAATCTAGCGGTGGGAATCTTTTGGTGCTTCGCGATTCGAAACGATTCTCGATTTTGAATCAAATTTCGATTTGAAATGAGCATTTTGATTGTAGTTTACTGTTGTGTGTTACTTCTCTTATTTGACTGCGGTACACAGTTTAATAGCTCTAGAGAAAAAAAGAAAATCCGACTGAATTAAATGTGAACCTTGAAATGTATTTAGTTTTTTAGCAATGAGTGCATGAAAATAGTTACACATCCGGTTTTCTTCCATTTGAAAAGGCATTTTTGTGTGTGGGCTGTAGTCATATACGTTTACATAAGGGATTTATTAATATGAAAATGATTTTGTGATTCTCTACTGTAACCCATGACACAGTCACAAGCTCTTATAAGTCCATCACTTTTTTTGCCGTTTTATTGCCTTTCCATGATTTGCTTTGGTCGTCTTTGTTTTGTCCGAAGTTGGCGTTGCCGTAATTGAATTTATTTTTCCATTTTTTTCCTTTTTTTAGAAAAACAATCAAGAAGGAGGGTGAAGAAAGGCTCATTCATCCAACGAACATGGAAAACTCTAAAGGTTTCCGCTCTTGGCTGTTACGGGGACGACACAGTGGACCCAGATCCAGCAGATCTACAGCCACAGATATCTGTCCTCTCCAGGGACTTAACCGAGCCAGGTCCATCTCACCGCGAGATCAGTTCTGACCAGTTACCCTTCTCGGGTCCATCTCACCGCGAGATCAGTTTAGACACGTCACCCTTCTCAAGTCCATCTGGTTCCCAGTCAAGTTTCTTTTACTCCGATTCATCGTCTGCTCCATGTCTGACCGATCTTCTCTCAGAGTTATCAATTTTAATGGGAGATTACGAGCCTGTTTCCAGTTAATCCAGTCTCAAGCTGATCCTGAGCTGAGTTGTAGGACTGTGCACACGTTTCTTTTCTGTATTGACTAAGCCTGAATTGCGGAAGAATCATCAAACTGAAGCTGAAATTGGGCAACCTGATATACACGGACACTGTTGGTTGAGGACTAAATTGGACTTAGTGTGATTTCAATTTTCCACGTTGCTGTTGTTTTTTTGTTTTTTTTTCTTGATTGTTTCAAGTCCTTTTGTATTTTATTTTCATTTTTTACATTTTTTATTCTGATTGAATATTGTATTGGTTTCTCTCATCTTTTCCTATTTTGTTTCTAAGGTGACGAGAGTTGAAAGGAGAATTTAAAGGGTAATTGGGTGAAAGAGTTGTAGCTAGAATTAGATTCAAACGTAGCTAAAATTAGGTCAGACGCGTCTCAAGCCATTATACGGCTGCAACTGCAAATATACGGCTGGAGCGTTTGGTTGTTGGTTGTAGAGCGAGACACTGCTTCACTGCTGCTCGCCCTGCGATCGATTGCCAAACTCACTTTCTTTACACTCACTTACAATCGAACATTTTCCTATACGTGACTCGTGCGTCTACACTACACCCGTACCACTAAAAAGACGGATTATACCCAAGTCTTGAGTCATAAATTAGTATAAATACTAATAGCATCACCTTTTTGTATTTTATTTATTTTTATTTATTTTCATTCAATATCCAGATCCACCATTTTCACATTTATTTCCATTTTCACATTTATCTCCCAGTTTAAAGCTAGACTAAAGATGCATTTATTTAGCCAGGCGTTCATATAAAATGTTTATCTTACAGTTACTGTAAATTTGGCCTCTAGTTTATGCCCCGACTGAGCCTGGGTTCTCCCAAGGTTTTTTTTTTTTCTCCATCGGGTCACTTGATGGAGTTTTTCGGTTCCTTGCCACTGTTGCCATTGGCTCGCTCAGTTGGGGATATTCAAATTAAATGACCCATCATACCATTGATCAGCTCCACCAAACTTGGATGTCTTTTTTTTTTTCCAGTAATAAACAAACACTGTTAAGTTCTTTTGATTGATACTGTGAAGCAGATTTGATACAATCTGTATTGTAAAAAGTGCTTTTTAAATATATTTGACTTGACTATTCTACACACTTTGTATTCATGTATAATGTATGCTTGTATGTACGACTTAAAACTCATCTTTATTCATTGGCTTTTAAATCAGACTGAGAGTAAATCTGCTTTTTGTTTTGTTTTGTCTTGTCACTTGTTTAATTGTGTCTTGTGCTTTTGTCATGTGTTTTTAATTTTTGTCTGAAATTATTTCCGTGTTCAGCACTTTGGCAAACCTCGGTTGTTTTAAATGTGCTTTACAAATAAAATTGTATTGTATTGTATTGTATTGTATAATGTATTCTTGTATAATGGCTGTTATTGTTCATTAACTTTTATTGTTCAGTAAATAATATTTTGTAATAATAATATATTGGCGTACCTGATTTTGAGAGATGGTGTGTGTGTTCGACCGCTTAACACTGTGATTGCTATCAGGATATGAGGAGACTTTCAACCCGCATAATAAAAAATTAATTTTAGACAGTCACCTATTGCACCTCAGCATTTTCCACACACTTTTATCTTTATATGGAAAAAAAAATGATATTCTTCAGGAGGGGCAGGTCCTCTATCCACCTTATTTTTAATGTAATACCAAGGTATCAAAAATACAAGTACATATCAAAAATGTAAAACTTACATACAATTAAATGATAATAAAATCCATAATTTATGCAAATATACATGGGCCTATACATAGAGATTTCATATAGCCTATATATACAAGTAAAAACAGAACAGAAAACTTTAATTAAATGAGTTAAAAAGTTGAAACAAGGTTACTGAGCTTTAAGATTCTCAGATGATGAAATATTTGGATGTACTGTTGGACCTCTCTCCTAAAAACGGTGAATTTGAAAAGAGAATTTAATAGCAATAATAGAATAATAATAAAGTATTCATTCGTTTGAGTTTTTTGTATATTAAAAAAAAAAAAAGCCAAACATTACATCCTTAAAAAAGAGAGAGAAACCCGGAAGAACATTGCAGTTAATGAAGCATCTCGTCTGACTGTTTACTGATAAACCTGCTCCCTTTCAGGTACATGAACCGTACATTTGCACTCATGTGAATATTAGTGACTAAATCTAATTTTACTAGGTTAGGTATTGTGTTGTATTGTTGAGTTAAATACGATACGGGGCGAATCCAATGTAAAATGCGAGAGTTTTCAGCTGGAGAGCACGCGGTTCGCGCGCAAATCGTTTATTTGTTTATCAGTAGAGTGATTAAATGAGTTGAAGGTCGATATATGATCTGTGTTTTCACGTGTGTTTTATGTCAGATTGAGGCTTGTGAATATAGACAGTGTCGCTGTTTTAGGATGAACACTACTTTAAGTGCACTCATTTATTCACAGTGAACTTGGGATGCGTTGATTTAAAGGAGAAGTACACACGAGCTCATGCACTTGTGTATAACATCATAGAAATAATAGAGCTCATGCATTGTTGTGTAATAATTATTCATTTATTGCCAAGATTCTAAGTAAAAACTCTGTTAATGAAGCATCTCGTCTGACTGATTACTGATAAACCTGCTCCCTTTCAGGAGTGCTACATTAGCAGGGTTAAATTTGTGTAAAAATGTTAGTGAAATGTCTTTCAAACTCAAAGTCCATACTGGCAAAGTCAATATGGTCAATAAAGTTCATCCAATATGACGCCACATATGGAGTTGTTACAAGCTCCTTTTAAAAGAGAGATCTAATTCTAGAATTACGGGATGAAGGATGCAACAAACCGTTTTCCTACTGGGAGTTCAAATGGGGTTTTGTTTTTATCTGTGTGGCTGTTGTAATGGTATAGAATTTGAATGTGATTTTATGATTATTTTGCTCTGTCCCTACAGCACTGTGGTCAACTGTGGTTGTATTAATGTGTGTGTGTGTGTGTGTGTGTGTGTGTACTCTATAGCGTAGGCTTCTGTATTAACTGATCATTATATAGTTATCGTCTAAGTTCGTAAGGAGGATTTGAGACAGCAATTTCACTACAACTTGTGAAATGAAAAAAAGAAAATGCACTGAATTGGTACTAGTTCAAAGTTGATAAATCTACAATCAGTAGAGTGTCGAAGTGATGACATCACTTTGTAGGACAACTCGGAAGCTAGCGGCGCATGGGTTCCCTCTGTCGAAAAGCTATGCATTTTCCCCATAGACTTTTGGAAAATCGCAAAAAATAAGATCTGTGTTTAACAAACAGTTGTGAGTGTGAACCTTACACGTTTTGTCTATCAAGATAATCTTTACAAGTTAATCCAAAAGTTATAAATTTTGAAGCCCATATAAAGTTTTTAAAAAACACAAAAAGACACAATAAAGTTTTAAAAAACCACAAGCGGGTTATAACTGTGTTCTATGTCAGAAATCAAAACGTGAAAATATTTAGAGGCTTTGTTCACCACAGACCTTATTTCAGGCGATTTAGCAAAAACCCATTAAAAAATCCCATAGGCTTTAGAGCGAGGGAACCGTAGTGCTAAATGCTAACTCACTTCCCCGTTTTGGCCTACAGAGTGACGTCGTAACTTCGGCACTCTAGAACTAAAACAAATACAAGCAGGCCTGCTTCATATGACAGAACAGAAGCAGAAGTAAACATGTGACAGAAGAAAGATTTACTAGCCAGGTAGTTTTAAACTCAGTTTCAGTGGAAGTAGGCTTTCTGAAGTGTATGGTGTGTATTGTAACTGGCAAGCAGCTTCCACCCTGCATTCAATGGCTGTCCTGCAGATCCTCCAAGCCGATCTCCTCCTCCGTGGGACGAGAAAGGCCGGGACCCAGCTGCCGATATGGACCTGAGGACCTTGAGGTTGTAATAATTGATGATCAGTTGAAATTCACAGACCACATTGCTAGAACTGCCCGGTCCTGCAGATTTGCCTTGCACAACATTAGGAGGATCAGGCCCTTCCTTACAGAGCATGCTACACAACTCCTTGTCCAAGCACTTGTTTTTATCCAGACTGGACTATTGTAATGCTCTCCTGGCTGGTCTTCCAGCTTGCTCTGTCAAACCTCTATTGATCCAGAATGCTGCAGCCAGAGTAGTCTTTAATGAGCCAAAGAGAGCACTCGTGAACAAACGAGACAGTGCCAAGACTCGGAACATTTAGCGAACATGATCGGGTCAAAAAAGCTTAAATATTTTTGGTTTTGGCCCCAACTTTATTCAACTTTTTTCAGAAGTTCAGGAAAACTTGATTTAAAGTTTGGAGAATTATGAGCATGGTTTGCTAAATTGGGAATGTTTTTTGGAGTTGCAATATTGAAAGGGGCTTATTATTCTGTTATGTCTTTTTAATCAAATATGTCATTGCAGTACACATTTAATTGCAACTGGTCTCTGTCTGAAAGGAGTCATTTAAAAATTCAAGCACAAACCTAATAAACTAGCATATAATCTTGCTCTGCATAAAGCAATATTGATTTTATATTGTTTCTTGATTTATATTGTTTTTCTTATGCAGTTTTCAGCTTTAATTTGAATCATTTCCATTCAAATTGTAATACTAACATATCATTAATATTGTTCAGTTGAATATCAGCAAATGATTTAATTCATAATAATTTTCAATTACAGTTACATTACATTTACTATAGACATTGTCTAAAATAACATTTAGTGTTAATTTAATGAAATTTAGTGATTTAATGTACTTCAATAATAAAAATTGTCTTTATAAATATATTGTTCAATTACATGCTTTTGTAAATTTGTTCAAATAAATAATGTTCAGTGAAATCAGTGAAGGTCGCCTACTTTAACCCTTACATTATTTATGAATATTGATGTTGAGTGTCTATGATCAGTAAAATGGTTCAAGGTACTTTTCAGAACTAGATTAAACCTTAAACTAAGTTGTGCTGTTTTGATATTCATAAATATGGAAAAAAATGGTTTAACTGTATTTGTATACTTGGCAAATCTGGGAAGAAACCACACTGAGTTTGTGTGTAACAGTTCACACACTGAAAACCACTTGTGTATTTCTTTAAAGTGGAGCCTAATTAATTTCATTGAAAAAAAAAAAACATTACATAACATAAACATTCATTATTTATGAACATTATTATGTGTAAGTTTTGTAAAAATGACAATTCATGTGATATCTCATATGTTTTCATATACCATATACCGTAAGTCAAACGGGATAACGCTGTTTTTTTCCATTGAAATGCATAATTTCACTAAATGAAGTTGAGGAAACAATAATAACATTAAATCAAGTCCTGTCAAACTTTTTCAGACATTTTACATTTTAACTCACATCGCAGTGTTAAAATGTGCGTAAAGAACTTGAACAAGAAATACAAAAAAAAAAAAAATAATAATATTTTTTTTTCTGATCTCTAAATATTGTTTACTGCATCACTTTACATATTCATTAGCCTAAGTATTATTGATTTGAAAAGTTTTAATATCATAATATTTAGAAAATGCATTAACGTTATCCTGTAGGCCTTAAGACATTTTGACTGGTGTGGTCACATGATTCTCAGTTAAACCACTTAAAATACATAGTTTAAAATTTAGATTTTAGTAACAAGTAAAAAAAAAAAAAAACATCCCCATAAAGATAATAACTACTTTGATGTACAGTTTTAACCAATTTGATTTTTTTTTTTATCAGTTGAAAACCTTATTTGTCATTGATGTGAGCTCACGCGCTCTGCTCACGCACGCGGCTTCGGATGCGCGTGCGAGCATATGAGTGATTCGAGTATGAGTTGCTATGGCGACGCGTCTTATGAATTTTGAATGAAAATATCAACACTTTGATCGCTGTTGGTTGGTTGAGAGTCGAGGCGATTTCAGAGACTTTTGCTGAAAATTTTCTTGTGCTGAACTTGAGATTTTGAAGCTGTTCGGAGGATTTCAGAGAGAGAGGAGACTTTTATTCCAGAAGGAGATCGGATAATATATCCTAGCTTACGCTACATCGTTTTATTTATTTTTATTTAATATTATTTCTGAGGACGCTTTGATTTGATTGTTCTTTTCTTATTTTTGAGGGAGTTTTGGAGTTTTATTTTATTTTTTATTGTTTATTTTTATTTTATTTTTATTTTTTTATTTTTTTTGGGGGGGTGGGGTATTTCTGAGTATTTTGGGTGGGGTATTACTGAGGTGGGGTATTTCATTGTATTGCATTGTATTTTGTATTGTATTGCTCTTGTTTGCAGGAGGATGCCAGGCCCGACCGGGACTCAGAGCCATGAGCTCATTCCTGGATATGTAACATCTCTGTCTTGTGAGTTTGTTTGTGTCTCCACAGGTCCGGCTGACAGGAAGAGAGAGTGGCAGAGAGACAGCCAGCAGAGCCCAGATGATGGACGTCCGTCCACTTCTTCTCAAGACTCTCGGAGAGCAAAGGCAAAGGTAGGGTGACCAACAGTCCTGTTTTCACGTCCTGTCCTGGCCCTCCTGGCTGCTCTTTATAAAGTGATGAAAATGTCCTGGTTTTCAAAAAACTGCTGGGAAAGATCAGCTCTACAGCAAAATATAGATGGGCAAGGAAGAAAAACAGGATAAAGAGGAAGAAAACTAAAGATATAAATATATTTTGTTAGTTCTTTTTGGCAAGTTTTGAGAGAATATATATTTGTTCAATTTGGAGGTATTTCTTTCAGTTATTTATTATTTATATATTTACTTTTGTAATACTGAAGAGACATTATTTCATTATTTTTGAAACCTGTCATAATAAAGAGTAACCTCTGAGAAGCCTATCTGAATTTGTGTCTTGTTAATGTAACAATTTTCTATTTATACAGAGGAGGAATAGCCTACTTTCAATGTATTGAAATGAATAAGGCATCTTTGAGTAAACTTTGAGTATCTGTTTGCTGGGCCGAGTGTCCTGGTTTTTGGTAATCAAAATATGGTCCCCCTAGGCAGAGGAAGAGGAGAAGCGTGATTCCCGTGACTGGAGCGGCATCATCCCAGACCAGAGGACTGCACCGATACCCGAGAGAAGAGCTGAGGGTAAATCAAATGACCATTGGAGAATATTATCACTGGAGTGTCATTAATTACCATATATGACCACACCATATTATATCAAAATACAACTGAAGCCAATAATCAGATTTAGTTTTTATTCCAAGACACATCATAACATATTTAAATAAGGATTGGGTACAAATTTCAAGAATAGCCATCATTTGAGTATCCAATGTTTAATAATTATGGTTATACACAACATTATAAGTTATTATTAATATTTGGTTGGTTCTCTTGTTTTTGCATGTGTTTTAATTCAGCTTTATATAACAGCCTGGACAAAAATGATGTTGCCAAATTGTTTATGTTTTATTGAATTATTATCACAAATTAAACAATCGACTCCCAGCTTAACTGTGCAAAATGACTACAAAATCTTACACACATTTATAATAACATTTAAATGCAAGACAAGAGTGCAGATGTCAGATTTCCTGGGCCGGACGTCACTTGTGTTCACTATTGTATATAGCTGTAATTGTAAATGTAAGGGAGAAAAGGAAAGCATGTGTGTGTGTGTGTGTGTGTGTGTGTGTGTAATCAGGCACTAGGATGATTGGGAAGAACATATTTAACTGTTTTCATCCCATGTTCTTCTTTCTTCATGATGTCAAGCCTCAGTATTTACGGTTTCTTGTGTTAATGTTTTTACCTTTCTTCAAGGCATCTGTGCTTTCTTACGGAGAATCGGGAAGGCTGTAAAGCTGGACTGCAGTGAGGTCGATATACTTGTGTCCACATATCCTCCTGCAATCCCACGGATGTCCAGCAGGATTCATCCGAGTTTTACTGGGCAACACCAGTGCATCCGTGTCCATCTGGAGTCCAGCTGCCGGTTAATGCCGATCCGGACGATCCCGAAGACTCTTGCACATCTGTCCTGGACCCAGAGCCGGCAGTGGCGCGAGATCTAGAGCTGATGTCTCTCTCAGGATTGTCCAGTCTCTCTAGTATCGAGCTGACGCCGGACTCTATTCAGGACGATCCTGACGATGCATCGTCTGTCCCGGGTGAGTCTATGGTCATTATTATTACTGTCAGTACTTTCATTATACCGAGTTGTGTTGTCGAGTTCATCTTGTGTACCTAATTATTAAAGTCCCCCGCTGGTCAATCAATTCATCCCTTTAAACTCATCTTTGATCACCAAATATTTCCATATTTAAATGTTTTTTTCTTTGAAAAAACAATCCGTCACGCCTTAAAATAGCTTGAATGTAACTCGACACCCTTGCCTCATTTAGTATGCTCGTTCTATGAATATGCAAATGAGCCCCGCCTCCACTCACTCACTCAGCCCAGAGATCCACTGGTTGACGATCACACGTTGATCTGATTGGTTACAAGGTGGTTTTGTGACGTCAGAAACACCAGCGATTTCACACCGTGTTTTTGAGACTGTCTTTGGTTCACTGCAGTTTTAAGGAGGAAATACTCTGAAATACTTGAAAAATGTGCCACTTTTCCAGTTGTCTCACCTCACAATTGAATTCTTTCTTCATTATGTCTTCCCTCAGATTTTGCTGAAAGCCAAACACAGACAGAAGAAGAAAGATGTGGGTGCGTTTCTCCGTAGGAAATGGAGGGCTATGATAGCGCCGGCTGTTGGTAAGTC